CATAACATTGTTGGATTCTGATCTATTCATAACATCGGATGATTCGGATCCATTCATAACATTACTATTCGGATCCATTCATAACATAGTATGATTCGGATCCATTCATAACATAGTATGATTCGAATCCATTCATAACATAGTATGGTTCGGATGCATTCATAACATAATATGATTCGGATACATTCATAACATCGTATAATTCGGATCCACTCATAACATATTATTATTCGGATCCATTCATAACATATTATAATTCGGATCCATTCATAACATAGTATGATTCGGATACATTCATACCATAGTATGATTCGGATCCATTCATAACATAGTATGATTCGGATCCATTTATAACATAGTATGGTTCGGATCCATTCATAACATAGTATGATTCGGATCCATTCATAACATAGTATGATTCGCATCCATTCATAACATAGTATGATTCGGATACATTCATACCATAGTATGATTCGGATACATTCATAACATAATATGATTCGGATCCATTCATAACATAGTAAAATTCGGATCCATTCATAACATAGTATGATTCGGATCCATTCTTAACATAGTATGATTGAGATCTATTCATAACATAATATGATTCGGATCCATTCATAACATTGTTTGATTCTGATCTATTCATAACATCGGATGATTCGGATCCATTCATAACATTACTATTCGGATCCATTCATAACATAGTATGATTCGGACCCATTCATAACATAGTATGACTAGAATCCATTCATAACATAGTATGGTTCGGATGCATTCATAACATAATATGATTCGGATACATTCATAACATAATATGATTCGGATACATTCATAACATCGTATAATTCGGATCCATTCATAACATATTATTATTCGGATCCATTCATACCATAGTATGATTCGGATACATTCATACCATAGTATGATTCGGATACATTCATAGCATAGTATGATTCGGATCCATTTATAACATAGTATGATTCGGATCCATTCATAACATATTATAATTCGGATCCATTCATAACATTGTATGATTCGGGTACATTCATACCATAGTGTGATTCGGATCCATTCATAACATATTATTATTCGGATCCATTCATAACATATTATAATTTGGATCCATTCATAACATAGTATGATTCGGATACATTCATACCATAGTATGATTTGGATCCATTCATAACATAGTATGATTCGGATACATTCATACATAGTATGATTCGGATCCATTCATAACATAGTATGGATCGGATCCATTCATAACATAATACGATTCGGATCCATTCATAACATATTATTATTCGGATCCAGTCATAACATTGTATGATTCGGATACATTCATACCATAGTATGATTCGGATCCATTCATAACATAGTATGGTTCGGATCCATTCATAACATAATACGATTCGGATTCATTCATAACATATTATTATTCGGATCCATTCATAACATTGTATGATTCGGATACATTTATACCATAGTATGATTCGGATCCATTCATAACATAGTATGATTCGGATTCATTCATAACATATTATTATTCGGATCCATTCATAACATTGTATGATTCGGATCCATTCTTAACATAGTATGATTCGAATCTATTCATAACATAGTATGTTTCGGATACATTTATACCATATTTTAATTCGGATACATTCATAACATAGTATGATTTAGATCCATTCATAACATAATATGATTCGGATACATTCATAACATAATATGATTCGGATACATTCATAACATAATATGATTCGGATCCATTCATAATATAGTATGATTCGAATCCATTCTTAACATAGTATGATTTAGATCCATTCATAACATAGTATGATTCGAATTCATTCATAATATAGTATGGTTCGGATCCATTCATAACATAATATGATTCGGATCCATTCATTACATACTATGATTCGGACACATTCATAACATCGTATAATTCGGATTCATTCATAACATAGTATGATTCGGATCTATTCATAACATATTATTATTCGGATACATTCATACCATAGTATAATTCGGATCCATTCATAACATAGTATGATTTAGATCCATCCATAACATATTATAATTCGGATCCATTCATGACATTGTATGATTCGGGTACATTCATACCATAGTATGATTCGGATACATTCATGCCAAAGTATGTTTCGGATACATTCATACCATAGTATGATTCGGATACATTCATACCATAGTATGATTCGGATACATTCATACCATAATACGATTCGGATCCATTCATAACATATTATAATTCGGATCCATTCATAACATTGTATGTTTCGGATCCATTCATAACATTGTATGATTCGGATCCATTCATAACATATTTCTATTCGGATCCATTCATACCATTGTATGATTCAGACCCATTCATAACATGGTATGATTCGGACACATTCATAACATTGTATGATTCGGATCCACTCATACCATTGTATGATTCGGACCCATTCATAACATAGTATGATTCGGACACATTCATAACATTGTATGATTCGGATCCATTTATAACATAGTATGATTCGGATCCATTCTTAACATAGTATGATTTAGATCCATTCATAACATAGTATGTTTCGGATCCATTCATAACATAGTATGTTTCGGATCCATTCATAACATTGTATGATTCGGATCCACTCATACCATAGTATGATTCGGATCCATTCATAACATAGTATGTTTT